TTGGGAAAGTTGTCATTCGCATTATGCTGCCTAGGCTGCAATCCCTAGGTGAAAGAATCTATCCTGAAACTCAATGTGGGTTCTGCTCAGTGTAACAAGGAGCCTGAGGCTCCCTCTTCCTTTGAGAGAGAAATAGCCCAGCAGGTGGGGAGCTCTGCAGGCCAGGCAGGGTGCAGCAGCTGCAGGTCACTGTGGCAACCAGGCAAGGAGGCAATTAGCAGGCACCTGCAGGCAGCCCAAGCAGTCTTCTGACCAGAATGGGGTAGGGCTCAGGGAAGCTAGTCTGTCCATGACAGCCACAGTGTGAAGAGCTCCAGGAAGCAGGACTTTTGAATGAACTTCTTTGTTGCCTGTGGAACCCCAGTGAGGCTCGAGGAGCTCACAAGGATAGCCCAGGGCCAGAAAGTATGCTGGCACTACAGGTGAGGAAAGGTTTGCCCTCTTAAAGAGGCAGAGGGCTGCTTCCCCTTCATGCTCAGTGTTTGTGTTGTACTTATACTGGCAGTTTGGTTTGGGACTGTAGGGGTGGTATACAGAGATCCTATTAGTGCCCAAGGAGCATGTGATCACCTTAAGCCCTGCCAGAGGCAGGCTCAAGGCTGGGGTGACTATTGAGCCTGGAGCAGGAATAGAGTGAAGCCATGGAGCCAGACAGGGGCCAGGAGCCTGGGACCTGAGAGGGATGCAACCACACAAGGGCCAGGGGTCTGGTAGGCAGGGGCCACTGTCCCAGTTCCCAAAAGGGCCAAATCAGAGCTAGTGCCTTGAAGCCAGGTCTGACAGAGTGAGCCTGGACTAGAATGCCTGGCCATAGTAAAGGGGCAGAGGCCAAAAAGGCAGAAACCTCAACAGGAGAGAACAACATTATGGTAACTCTTGTGAGGCTTGGTGTAGGGGAGGATTGGAGCCATGCAATTGGCCCCTAAGATTTGAGGTGCCCTACGGTGGCATAGTTATAGAGTGAGGCCCAGCGAGGGGCTTGGGACCAGTGAGCCCAGAGAGGGGCCTGGGGAATAGTGAAGACCAGTAGGATGCTGGGGAACCCTAGCAGGGGGTGAGTTGAACTGGGGCCATACGAGGGCCCGGGGGGGAACCTCCCTTTTTAGAAACATAAGAAATAGCAAGGCATGGTGGACAAGATAGAAGGGAGGGCACCCTATGGGCAGAGTGAGGTACAGTTGCAGAGCCACCAGGGGGCATCATGACTGCCCCTGGACCCAGACATGCTACACTCAGGACACTCCACCGCTGATGAGATATTTTCAGTCAAGCAACTGCAAGAGAAATATAGAGAAAAAGGAATACCACTTTATATAGCCCTCATCAATCTGACAAAGGCCTCTGATATTGTCAACAGGTAGGGCCTTTTTACCATTCTAAAGAGACAGGGTTGTTCCCCCAAACTGTTAAACATCATTCAGTCATTACATCAAGGAATGAAGGCAAGTATAGTGTACGAAAACAAAGAATTAAATGACTTTGACATCGATAACAGGGTGAAACAGAGGTGTGTCTTGGACCCTGTACTCTTTGACATCTAATTTTCATTCCT